CAGACATACGGATCAATGGAACAGAATAGAGAGCCCAGAAATAAACCCACACAACTATGGTCAATCTTCGACAAAGGAAGCAAGAATATATGATCAAGAAAAGACAGTCTCTTCAGCAAATGATGTTGGGAAAACTGGACAGCAGCATATAAATCAATGAAGATAGAACACTCCCTCACACCATACACAAAAATAAACTCAAAGTGGCTTAAAGACTTAAATATAAGACAAGATATAGTAAACTTCCTAGAAGAAAACATAGGCAAACATTACCTCACATAAATCTTAGCAATGTTCTAGGGCAGTCTACCCAGGCAATAGAAATAAAAGCAAAAATTAACAAACAGGACCTAATTAAACTTATAAGCATATGCACAGCAAAGGAAACCATAAATAAAACAAAACAAAAACCTACGGAATGGGAGAAAATATTTGCAAATGATGTTACTGACAAAGGCTTAATTTCCAGAATATACAAACATCTCATACAACTTAACAACAACAACAAAAAATCCAATCCAAAAATGGCAGAAGATCTAAACAAGCAATTCTCCAATAAAGACACACAAATGGCCAATAGGTACATGAAAAATGCTCAATATCACTAATTATCAGAGAAATGCAAATCAAAACTACAATGAGGTATCACCTCACACCAGTCAGAATGGTCATCATTCAGAAGTTCACAAATGATAAATGCTGTAGAGGGTCTAGAGAAAAGGAAACTCTCCTACACTGCTGGTGGGCATGTAGTTTGGTGCAGCCATTATGGAAAACAGTAGGGATTCCTCAAAAAACTAAAAATAGACTTACCATATGAGCCAGCAATCTCACTCCTGGGCATATAACCAAAGGGAACTCTAATTCAAAAAGATACATGCACCCCAATGTTCACAGCAGCACCATTTACAATAGCGAAGACATGAAAGCAACCTAAATGTCCATCAACAGATGACTGGATAAAGAAGTGGTATATTTATACAATGGAATACTACTCAGCGATAAAAAAGAATAAAATAATGCCATTTGCAGCAACATGGATGGACCTGGAGATCATCATTGTAAGTGAAGTAAGCCAGAAATAGAAAGAAAAATACCATATAATATCACTCATATGTGGAATCTAAAAAAAGAAAAGAAAAGAAAAGAAAAAAAGAGGACAATAATGAACTCATCTACAAAATAGAAACAGACTCACAGACATAGTAAACAATCTTATGGTTACTGGGGGAAGAGGAGTGGGAAGGGATAAATTTAGGAGTTTGAGATTTGCAAAGGTTAACCACTATATATAAAAACAGATGAAAAACAAATTTCTTCTGTATAGCACAGGGAACTATATTCAATATCTTATAGTAACATTTAATGAAAAGTAATATGAAAATGAATATATGTATACATATGCATGACTAGGACACTATGCTGTACACCAGAAATTGACACAATGTAACTGACTATATGTCAATTTAAAAAATATAGATAGATAGATAGATAGATAGATAGATAGATAGATAGATAGATAGCTGAAGCAATAAAGATTTACTATCTCACATAACAAGAAGTGTTGAGTAACTCGAGGTGGTTAATTCTAACCAACTTGCTTTCTATCTTTCTGCTTTGCAATTCTTAGAATGCCAGGTTTGCCCCAAGGGGCTAACTCACCTCACAGTAACAATATAGCTGTCACAGCTCCAAACATCACAGCCAGATTAAGCAGCATCCAGTGGGTGAAAAAGAAAGTCTCTGGTGTGGTCTCTACCATGGAGGAAACCTACACCAATCACTTGCAAGGGCCACGGGGGCACCACGATTATCTGAGGGAAGCATACGGCTGGGTGGAGAAGGTGGGGCGGCCTAAACAAAGCTGGGATTCTCCCAGCAAGGAAAAAAGGAGAAACAAGAGTTGGGCTGACCACCCACAGTGTCTGCTTTTTCTGCATCACAGGTTTTGTTTTATTTTCTTTAGAGAAGAAAGGAGATTAGACTTTTCAAATAAACAAAAGGATTTTCTAATTAAAAAAATCAACTCGTGAATATATGTATGTTTATGTATAACTGAAAAATTGTGCTCTACACTGGAATTTGACACAACATTGTAAAATGACTATAACTCAATTAAAAAAAGTTAAAAAAAATCAACTCAGAGAATTCTCCAGCAGCTGGGGAGAGAGGTTTTACACAAATACATTTTGGATTTTAATGTTTTAAATATTTTAGGTTATTCCTTTCTTTCTTATAGCCATGTGACATAGATACTGCTATCACCCCATTTTATAGAAGGAAAAACAGAGACATAGAGATGTTCAGTAACTTGACTTGCAGTTAAGGAACCTGCTTCCAGAAACGTGAAAGTGGCAGAGGCAAAACATGAGCCAGGCGGCTTGGTTCCAGGCTGCTCTCCTAACCACAGCTCTGAGAGTCCCTCTCTCCCGCCCTTCACTTCTTCATGCTCTCTACAGAGTAAAGCGACTATTAATATCCTTTCCCTTGAACATTTGCTTAACCAACCAGTTAACTGATCTCCCAGACCCCAGTGTCTCATTAGTCCAATCCATGCAATACCCAGACCAACTTCCTATAATTTTACAATTATCACCGTCCGCCCTAGTCCAGAACTTCCACACCCTCTGCCTGGATTCCAGCCGTAGCTTCTCCACACCGTCTTTTTTTCTCATCCATGACCACTGCCACCTGAAGCTCCCTCAGTGATGAGTTTTCACAATTCCTGCCTGTCCGTGGCCGCAGCACTGGGGAGGGTCATGTGGTGAGAAGGACCAGGACTCTGGAGTCAGACTGGTTTTTATCAGCTCTGCCACTGTCTCCAGGATGGTGGGCTTAAGACTGCTCTCTAGCAAATGTGGATACTGGGATGTAAAGCTTGAGAGTTTGCAAGCCCCTCCCCCTTCCTCTCTAGCTGCTCTCTCTTCTTCCTGTCTTTAGAAATGCCAGGCTCGCTCCCTCCTGCTCCCCTCTCAGACTTGGGCCTTTCTCCCTGGCTCCCTCCCTCACCTCCTTCAAGTCTTCACCGAACTGCCTTTTGTTGGGCTGTACCTCACAGGCCTACAAGGCCTGTACTCGCACAGCTTCAAGACTGAAGAAAGAGCCCGGGTCAGCAACAGAGAGATCCATGGTTTCATGGAGGGGAACTTACACATCTGAAGCAAGGTCCCGGAGCGATTCCCCACATTGTGCAGAGTGGACGACAGGCAGGACACGGCAGCCGGCTTCACTCTGCTCCCGGGGGCAAGGGGAGGTCAGCAGTTAAAAGGG